CAGCATTTCTCGTTCTCCCAAACTTCCACTCGTGTTTCTATTAAACAATTAGATTATGAGCTCGAGATTTCTATCGCGCGATAGTTGACGAGGGCGCAGTCCGAGTGAACTATCACGCATAGAAATCGATAGAGAATAATCTAATTGTTTTAGTATAAATCTACTAGTCGTTCAAAACTTAATCTAAATACTCTTCACAGACATCTCGAAAACGCAAAGAAGCGGCCGTCAATCTGTTAAAAAGCGCACTCTGCTACGCTACTCAATATCTATCACAGAATAGATAGTGAGTAGCGTAGCCAATCAGAGGACGGCATTCGTGATAGAAGGCCAGTAGATTTATACTAAAACTCGATAGAAACACAGTACATGTTCTCTATTTCTTAAACAGAAACTATTGCTAAATGTACAATGGATGATGTTTATCTTTTCTTGCAAAGCGAAACCTTAAAAGAACTGATGTTTTAAAAGGGTTTAATAACTCTGCGAATGTTTATGGTGAGGCTGTGTAACATAGTCCCACAAACATTGTTGGCTATTATTCAGGGTCATTCTATGGGTGAGACGCGATGCTGCTACTATTAAGGCGGCTCCTTATAGTTTTACGATTGCACGCACCCATAGGACGAAAGCTCAAGTAATCTCCGCGCGCTCAAAGGAAAACGTAAGTGTTTTTCGATTTTTATGACGTCAACATGAGGACAAAAAGCAAAACTGACAGTGAATTTACTCGCGTTTCCTTCGGTTAATTTTTTAAATTTGGCTCAGTTGTAACCACATACAACTGCTATAAAATACCCTATTTTTGTTAAACCCTGTCAGGGCTAATCTAATATATTTAGAATGACAAATTACAGAATATTGGAAAAACCGTCTGAACAACTTTGACTTTTTACCGATTCAAAATGTCAGGCAATATCATATATTTCCATGATGTGGCAAAGTATGAAAAAATTTGACCGAAGGAAAGTATAAAAATTAAGGAGTTTAGGCCAAAATGAGGATTAGATGAGATGTTACCATGGTAACGGCCTTAATCCAAAAATTAAGCCTTATTTTAACAGTACCCATACTGGTAAATCTCTACAGGGAAAACTTTAAGAGAAATTAACTCAGTTTCCTTTTCTAACTCGCGCTCTATAGGGAGGGTGTTCGTTAATACTCTAGGGAGCCACCTCAAACACTGACCTTCAAATAAGAAGAGTATCTCCATACATATTAGTACTGTTGTGATCATATTCGTCATTGGACTTTCCAGGTGGTTGGCTCTAATTACCCGACCATTACCAGTGGCTTCGCGTGGAAATAAGGTCGCAGTTTGTCTGATCCTTCTAACATGAATAACATGAAATTAATGTAAATGTTATTCAAAAGTTATTTGTCCAGCTGGGATCGTTTAAAGAGTCTTTAAACTGTTCGAGCCTTTTAGCTCAGACCAATAAAATAATAATATAAATAATAATATTTCCACAAAGGAAATTTGCATTATGGAATTCTATCTAATGGGATAGAATTTGCGAGAACGTTTTGAATGTTGTTATTTATTTATTTATTTATTTATTTATTTATTTCAACAAAGAAAAAATAAAACTTCTTATATGACTGCAAACATTACTGTACTGATTAAAGATTCTGCCAAAGTGCTTGGTATTTATGTGAGAAATATATTTAATTAATACAGCACTTTTTCCGCGTTTACTTAATTTGACATCTAAACATGAGGAGGGTTGAGAGAGTTCGAGACAGTTATCCAGACCCTAGACTACGTCTCGGGTTTGCATAACTTTCGAGAACTCCCCCGGCCCCCGTGTGTTTAGATGAGGCTATGTAAACACGGAAAACGTTCTCTATTGCTTTTGTAAAATAATTCTCAAAAATTCGCGGGAATCTAAAACGTCACAACCGGGTTTACATACTCTCATCTAAACACACCTATCGACCAATGAAAGCGCGCGTAGTAGCTCAGTTATTTTATAAATACTTTATATAGCGGGGTAGTTACAGAGCGTTTATTATGTTATTCCTCCGGCTCGAGGGGGTATCCCGGCATGATTAGACTTGTGCACATTTTGCAAGGTATCGAGGGGGTCTTCAAGCCCGTGCGGAGGGAGTTACACGTGAAAAGGTCGGGGATGTTCGTCCGAAATATTTGAATCAAACCGAGAGACCAGTCTGGGCGTGGCTCGAGCTTTATTTGACCCCCAAAAGATATAGCCTGAAATGTCAGTCATCTTCCGCTCTCAGCCTTATGCCCAGGTTCTCTATTTAGCTACTGACAAACAATCAGCTAAACGCGCAATCTGATTGGCTTTAGATCTTAAGGAATGTAGCTTATGAGCTTAACTTGCGGCAAGTCGACCTTTGCTTAATAATCCTTCGCTTATTCCTCTCCTTTGTGCGAAGCGCGAGGGCAATCTTCAAGCGACGAAGTCGCAAACGGCCAAACCAACAGGCCAGGAAAGAATTATTGGCATTATTGGAAAGGATTGGAAAGAATTTTAAGAAAATTTTACCTTATATCTTCCAATTCTTATGTATGGTTTTGAGGTTTGGAGCATTTATGACAAAGATGATTATAACTCGTGGGAGAACTGCGACAAAATTGAAAAAAAAAACCATCCTTTTTTTCTGTTTCTAGGTGTTAAAATTATATCCAAATGCAGCCCGTAGAAATGAACTTGGTCGGTTGCCTCTAAAAGAATAACTAACGCAAATTTTATCAAATTTTGGATGCACTTAGAAAACAAACCGGAAGACAGTATTGCAAAACAATATTTACGAATATCCAAGGACCTGGCTTGAACCTGGCTGATAAAAACAAGAAAAGCATTATGCTAAACGTTACCGACCTCTGTAAGAAATCAAATCTAAATACATTAAAACTTAACTGAAAATAACTCCCCGTCATTTATTTCTCAAGTTCGGTTAACTTTCAAAAAAGAAATAATTCAACATTATTAAATTTGATAAAACATAACAAGAAGCAAGAGTTAATGCTTTACTCAATGTTCAAAATTGATTGTCACAAAGCTGATTTTTGAATACAATAAACAATCCCTCGCTCAAAAAAGCCATAAATAAATTTCGTCTCGGAAATCATCGATTACGGATTGAAACTGGCAGACATACAATTGTCAAAACTCCAGAAAATCTCAGAATTTGTCCTTTCTGTCACTTGAATGAAGTTAAAAATTAGCTGCATTTTATACTTTCCTGTCACCTTTACGATAACTTACGCTTGAACGTTTTTGAAGACGTAAATAGAAAATACAATCATTTTGATGCGCTAGATGGTAAATCAAAAAATGTTTTTTCTTTGTAATAATGTTGACCCCCTTTACCTATAGACATCCTGTCATTATTTAAATTATTGTAATTTAGTTACATTATAATAGTTATATTATATTTTAGGTAATACCATGTACTCGTATGGTATACTGAAATAAATTATTTTTGTTGTTGTTGTTGGAAGCTCGTAGACCTTCCTAAGGGGAGGTGGAGAGGGTGGTGGAGAGGAGCCTGATACTCAATCTCAAACCTGTGTGCGCAATAATCACTGATCCGGAAGGTGCGGAGAGTTTACAGTTTGCCGAGGAACTGAAGGTTTAATGTTTGTTGAGTGACCCATTTAATTTTGTAGGAAATGGAGCAAGCATAGGGAATCGTATCGAAGATAAGCCAAGAGAATAAACGATTATGGCGTTTCTACGAGGAAGCTCAATCTACTGTATCGGGGAGAAAGAGATCGACATGACTAGGAGAGTTGCATTTAGCAGCGTGTGCATTACCACAGCGACAATATCTTCGTTTGGAGCCATCGTTCAGCTTGTTAACTGGTTTAAAAGACTGACGGCGAGAGAACCGAGGAGAATACCTTCTCCAACGCCACATGTCGTCTTTTCTCTCGCTTTGGCAGATTTGTTTGCCTGTGTAGGTAAGAACAACTGATTTAGGCTGCTTAATTACAACACAATAGCAAGGCAGTGTGGGATTCAAAACAGCCTTTATTAATAATTACCTAAAAACTAGGATTGTTCACAATATTATTATTAACTGGACCTAACATACTATGAAAAAACACCCCAGCAACAAGCTGGGGACAAGAGCTGGCTAACCTTAGACCAAATAAAATATAGACACTGAGAGAACAACGAAAACAATACAAAGCAATCAAAGTGCTCTATGATTTCCCAGTGGATGATGATTGACATGTGTGGCCTGCGGGTTATTCTAGTTAAACGAGTTACCATATTGACTTCTGGCAATACTTGACCATACTTGTTATAACAGCAGTACTGTTAACTCCCAGAGCTTTTTGCCAAAAATGCATTTTTTGGACATTTTGGAGATTTTCAAGCTGGATATGGGCCAAATTAGCTCCAATCTACTGTAAAATGTATTTGCCACATGACAGCATGCCTTTCTTTCCACTAGCATTGCGTTTTTATACATTTTTGCTTGGGCATTCGCAGAAATCAAAATTTTGAGAAAGTGACTTATGTCTTTAGGCTTTTTGTTTTAAATTTTAATATTTTTTTTTCACCTTTACTTTTTCTCCTTTTCTTATCTTTGTGCTGCAGTGATTGACCTTCTACTGGGTTTGCTTCCAGTTCAAAAAATTTCTGAGAAAGCATCATCAAAACAGGAAATTTTTACCATGGAGTAGCCACGTGTGGTGGCAGGAGATTTTGCTTTGAGTTTTTCACTCAAATTTCTGAGCATTTTCATGCATGTTTCAGGCTCCATTGAGCCATCATTCTGATCTGGGTATCATTGGAAAGACTTTTTTCTCCTGCAGAAGTTTAGTATAGATGATGCCAATTTTTGTCAAAGGTGATGATGTCAGAAGTGGAACAAAGGCCAAGGCTCGTCACGGCTGGTTACAGGTGGCACGGGAGTCAATGGGTTTAAAAAAAAAAGACTTTTTGTGTATAATACATGAGTTACAAGAACTGGCAAACCTCCAGTACAAGAACTGCATTACTCCGATAGATCAGTGGCAGATCCAGACTTTGAGCTGAGGGGGGCCTGGTTTTGTTTTACTTGCCCTGCCAGCTTTTCTTCCTTCAGTCATTCAGTCTTTTTTACCCAAAATAAGGGGGGGGGGGGCGGGCCCCGGGCCCCTCCCCTAGATCCGCCACTGTAGATGATGGATTTACTCATTCTCGATTGAGCCACTCTACCTTGTAAACTTCTCGTCGCCTTGCTCAACATATTTTTCTTCTCGCCTGAAGTCGAAAGCGTATTCTGCTTTATGTGACTCAGTGCCGTTAGATCGAGTGCGAATAGGTTGCAAAAATAATCGAAGTGACTCTGCTCGCAGGGTAGCTGCAAAAGATCTTCAGAGAATCCAGTTTTTAGTGCAGAGTGCACTATTGGGATGGTTATGGGAGCTGCTTGCCGCTAAGGAACTAAGGCGCTATGGCGCTATGTTTGTTTAATTAATTAATTTCAATTAATTAATTAGTCTAGAGGCAAGGAAGTAGTGGGGGAAGGGTGGGAAAGATACATGTGTACTCTACGTAAAACACATTCCATCGCCGTCACTTAGCTTTGAAGATCGCAAAGCTATATATTTGTTTCAGGTAACCCCTTGCTCTCCTTGTGGTACCATTCTCCTTAGAACAAAACTAATTTGCCCTAAACGCATG